TAAGTAATAAAAAATATGTCGCTAATAAAAAATTTTGCAAACATGAACAACTTCTATCAAAATTTGTGCTTAGATATTAGAGCCTCTTCTTTAATGTTAGCAAAATTTTGGAAGTATTATCATTTTAAAAAAAATAACTTTATATATATGCGCAAGTTCTCAGTGATAAATACAAATTCTCAGTGGTAAAATTTGCCCATGTAGTACAAGAAAAAAAAATCTATTTATTTTTTAGAACCAAGCCTCAGACTTCTATATCAGATGATTCAGATGATCATATAAATCAGCATAACGAGAACGATAAATTTTCTTTCACGAATGTGTATGCTCAGAAATTAGATAACGAAAGTACACTCCTCGGTAGGGCCCTGCACGGGCCAAAAATTTGAACTTTTGCCAGCTCATCAAATAAAATTTATTATGTTTTTGAAAGTTCGGCCTACTTTTTACTATATTTTTATCTCATCAGGCTCGCCATTTTGTGAGGTTTTTAAAAAATTTTAAATTTCAGCCTGGCCCCTACTCCTCGATGATTGGATTTGGGGTAATTACTTTTTTTTTTACCATTTTGTTTACTGCCTCCTATTGCTATTTGACAACTATTTTTTGTTTTCAGACCCGATTAGCCAGAAAAGAAAAACCAAAAATTACAGCTCCAATTCAGTTTTAATATATTTTCTTTTATCCTTTATATTCTATGTAATTAGATATGTCATGCATCAGAATAGAATTATTGTATATTTAGAACCTATCTAGTTGATTCAAATAAAAATAAGGTTTATTTATTAATTAACTTTAAAAGTATTACACATGCAGTTTTTACATCTATGATTAGTAAGATGAAAACTACTTTCAAAAGGTATATATATATTTTTTTTAATATTTACAATGAATTTTGTCACACATGTTTTTGCAATTGTGTAATAGACACTTCTCGAATGTTTATGAGTGTTGAATGAATACTAATTCTGGAGACTTACTAGAACTTATTAGGATCCAATGAAGACAATTCATTAGCATCATACATAATTCTAATAATGCCAGACTTGTATCCAAGTCTATATGTATTATTCTCCAAAACTTTGAGGATCTTAAGGAGAGTGTCTTTTGATCGTTGTGTTTGTATTTATGGAACTTGTAAAACCTTAATACAAAATCATCAAATTTGGAATCCACTTAAATTGGTTGCAAATTTCATATCAATGTTGTAAGAATGAAATTTAAGTGGATTTGGAATTTTTTAATGTTTTAGGGTTAGGATATAGAACAAATTCTACCCTAAAATTTCCATTCCCCTCACATCAACATTTGGAATTCTGAGCCAACCTAAGTGGATTCTAAATCGACAATGAATCTGTTCCGATGCATGACATATATACTAGGTTTATCACATCTCTAGCCTGAGTTTATTGTTCGTCTTGATCATAAATAATTGTTCAAATTAAATTTTCAAGGCTAAAATGTACCAAAAATATATTTCACTTTGCTCCGACAAATTAGAACATATTTTTAAACTTTCTTAATATATCATTAATTTAATTTATTAAATAAATATAAATAAATAAATAAATAAATAATAAATAAATAAATCAATAAATAAATAATAATCATTAGGATATTCATTATCATTATTTTAAGAATTTTAATTACTGTTAAAATAATAATACTTGTGATTATTAAAATTAACAATAGAGTTAT